TACAATATATTTTATTTATTTTAGTCACTCAAATGATAGTTTAATATTAACTTTATTAGAATAGTTTTTACAGAATTTTATTTAAAGCAATAGTTATTTAGTTATTTAAATTTTTAGTTTGTTTAATATAAACAGAATCCAGACCAAGATACACAAGCACAAGTGGTACCCCAGGACAGCCCAGGACGATGTAACAACAACATAAAAGATAAACAAAGCCAAACAAACTCAATTTGGCAAAAGTGCTCTTACTATATTAAAAGGTACCCATGCTATAGTAAAAGGTGTCTATATTATAATAAAAGGTGCTTATTCTATAAAAAAAGGTATTCATTTCTTAGTAAAAGGTGTCCAATCTATTATTTCAATCATTCTAAGATGCCCATCCACTATCTGAAAATACCTATCTAATATTAAAAGGTGCCTTTTCTATAGAAGAAAGTACTTTTTCGTTAATAAAAAAATGTACTTTCTTAATAAATTACTATGTTTCTATAGTAATTTAATATTCCAAAAAAAGATATTTAAACCCCTCTACTTTCTCTAAGGCACAAAAACAGCTGGTCTACTTACTCTAATCATTCTATCTTTATAAATATATATTTTTGTTTTTAAAATAAACTTTGTATTGTCTTTGTTATTAAATTTGTATTAGAAATAAATTTTTTTTTTGTATAATCTTTGTTGGGAATAAGTCTCTTTTTTGTGATATTTTTTTAGAATTTGTATTTTATTTTTACTGTGTTTTATTTTTGCTTTATATGAGCTATTCTTTGAGTATTATCTGAGTTAATAAATATATTTTTAGTATAAAAACTGTTGGTTATAACAGGACCCAGACATATAGTACAGGGGTCATACATTATATATTTCAGCAAAAACACCTAAAATTTAGAAATTAAAAAATCAGTTTTTTGCAATTATCTCAATATCCAGTGGTCTAATTTGGATGAACTTTTTTTTAAATAAAAGCTTTCAGTGAGATGCATCTAACAAAAAATTCATTCAATTCTGATTACTAGATCAAAAGTTATTTAAGAAAATGTAGTTTTTTAGTTTTTAGCAAATTTGATCAAATTTGGCCAAAATTCAATTATGATTTATATCAGAGATATCTGGGGTCCTATTATAACCTTTTTCTTTGTAAGTATGGTGCTGGAAGTCTATACTCAACAGTTACACAAAGTGTTTCAATTTTTTAAATAGCTATAACTTTTTATCTAAGCGGTTTAAAAAAAATCTGACTGGTAACTTTATAAAGCTATATCAGCTCTACATATTTGCCTAATTTCATTTCAAAATCTCATCACTGTAAAGAGTTGAAGCTTTTTGAAAATTGAAATTTTATATATAAATTTATAAATTTATATATAAAATTTCAATTTTTAAAAAGCTTCAACTCTTTACAGTGATGAGATTTTGAAATGAAATTTGGCAGATATGTAGAGTTAATATAGCTTTATAAAGTTACTGATCAGATTTTTTAAACCTTTTAGATAAAAAGTTATAGCTATTTAAAAAATTGAAACACTTTGTGTAACTGTTGAGTATAGACTTCCAGCACCATATCACATTGCCAATAAGTTGACAATATTTTATTTTGTTTATAAACTGTTTTCTGTTATAAAATTATTTAAACCATATTTTTTAACTACTTGAACACTTAGGCAAGTAGTATAATTTGTTAACCAAAGATCTAATAACATTATATTACAACAGTATTATTTAAATAAATTTAATTTTTTTTTTTATAATTCGGCTATCTGCCGCTGTTTATTTATGATTAAAACTATTCGACAAATTACAAAAAGTTTTCTTCTAGCTATATAATCCTCTGAACAATGACTCACTAAGCTTTCATCTAATATGGTCTGCTTTAACAGTCATTGGCCTCAATCTGGGTTCAAAACTACCTAAGAACTTTTTTCTCTTCAATCCTCAGCTAGCGACTGCAAGCCATAAGTATCAATATTGGTTTTTCTTATCAGTGAAGAAGCACAAACACAAATTCAAAATGTGATAAAAAAAGAAATATACTTAACAACAAAACCAATTTTCCTAAAACAAATAAAACCAAACAAATCAAAAAAAAAACAAAAACAAAGAAAAAAAACAAAGATGATACTATTAAGCCTGTGCTAGACTAAAAACATTATATAGTACTACTAAATAAATTAAATTAACCTCTATATTAATTATTTATATCTATATCTAGAATATAAAAACTTTATCAGAAAACTATCTATTCTTGAGTAAAGGTTCAAGTTCGAAACTTCAAATTGTGTAGTTCTATAAAAACTTCTGCAACATATTCATTTACTTTCAATTTAAGGATATGATCATATATTATTTATCCTAAAATAAATACGTACTCCTGTACATGACTTTTCTTTTTCGGCAGTAATTGTTATTATTGATCTTTTGATAGGGTATGCCATTTTTTTTACTTTTTGATGAAATTTCATGAAGTGCAAAAAGTGGTGTATTGTAAAAGATTTCAGTTAGCAGATAGCTTAAACTTTGATAGGAAGTGTGTTGAAAACTCGCTTGCTATTCTTCTAGACCAACTATACTTTTACTTCATCAGCAAAAACTATGCTTCTATTAAAATTTTTTGTACAAGAGCACCACCTCCTGCCAGTTATCTTGTATAAGAATGCTTTTAACTTGCTTGCTGAATATACAAAGGAGTCCAAAAAGAAAAGAAGAATCAAAAAAACACTTGACCTCTGTAAAAACTGTTACTTTTATAGTTATCTCTTCTACTTTTCTCCAACAAGTTTTTGTTTTCATTAGTTATAAGTTTGTTATAAGTGATTGTCAGGAAGAGTTGAATTTAAATAAATTTAAAATAGAGACTAATTTGTTTAATAGTTATAATTTTTACAAACCTTTTACAAACTTATAAATATAATATTAAGATAGACAAATTTTTTTTTTGTTTTTAATACTTCTTTATCACCTTCTTTTTTGTTTATATATTTTATTATTATTCTCTATATCTCTGTTTTTTTTTTCTTATCTGTATTTTCTTTGATTTAGCTTTTTGACAAAGTATATAGCTACTCTAGCTAATGTTTAAAAAAATCAAATCCTCAAAAGTTAAGGATCCAACATGAAACCAACTACTACTAGATAGTATTATACTTGGACTATAAAGTTGAATAGGTTTTCTTTAATGTAAAAATATAATATAAAATATTATATTTATCTATTAACAATAATTTTTGATACTTTTAATAAAATAATAAAGACAGAACTACCAAATTAAAAAAAAAAAAGATTAAAAAATATATAAAAAATTAATCAATCAAATTCAATTTTATAAATAATAATTAGCAAAATTTTTAGCACTATTATAAAAATTTGATATGACTAGATCATTCGCATTATAGTTACAACCTTTTATAATTACCGAAATTTGCTTTTTCAACCTGGTGATTATATCGAGGTCTAACTGAATTTACAGTATAATTTTACAATATTACAAAAATATTAAAAAAAATAATAATAAATCAGATTTTATCTACTTTATCAATATTATTCATACAAAAAAAAATTCAACCAAAAAGCGTGATTATAAGCTAATCATTGCTTAAAAGAACATTCGAGAATCGATATCGATTTTTGGTAAAATCTTGTAAATTTTACGCAAGCCAATATGCCTACTAACAATATTCACCACTCATATTTTAGGGTATAGTAAAATTTTTTGTCAGTCGGAAAACCCCTATTTTAGCAAACCATCATGATAATTAAATTTTTTTTTTGCACCTGACATTTAAGTGGTTGTTTTCCTAAATAAACTATACTGATGCAGTAAGATATCGATATACTAACTTAGCCAGCCAATCAAAAATAGCTCGTAACTAAACGTTTGCCCGTGAAACTGCTTTCTTAGTACCACCATGCTTTTCAAACCTTAACATGATGACGAAGCGAAAAATTGTAATAAAAACAATAAAGAGTAGCCGTAAAGCAAGAAAAGATAAAATATTCACTTGTAAATGATAATTAACTCGAATAGTTAATATTTATCGTTACCTTTCGTACATCAGGCATGAATATTCACAAATTTTGGCCGATATTTGATTTCGGCCAAAGTTAATCTTGTACGACCATAACATGTCCGACCGAATAAAGATCGTAAATAAGAATAAAAAAGGGGGCAGAAATAACCATAATTCAGAACATTTTTTTTTTCCAGTAGTTCTTTACTAGAAAAAAAGACACACTACCATCCTTAACACACAATTAGGATCAATCAATACCTTTATTTGGATCGGTTGAACCTTTTCCGGTTACTATTTGGTTTATACTGTCTATAGAATAACGCAAATAAATGAGTTATCGCAGAACAACCTTGTTTGTGGCTGGCTTTGGACACCAAATTAGAGCTAGAGACTTAGCATATGAGTTCGAAAGGTAAAAGCTCAAAAAAAAAGAAAAAATAAAAAGCAGTAACAGTGGTCTTACCTTAAAAGTTGAGCCCAGTCATAGCTTTTCTGTCTTACAAGTTTTTAAGTATACTATGTTTATCAATTATAGATATGGACGTCTAATCAGGTGTGATATTCCAGCCCCAAGAAGCTTTTCGTCGAAACCGTAAATATCACATCAATTTTGCTCTGCTTTTGTTTTGTTTATTTCATACCTACATGTTATACTTTAAGAGCTGGTAGCAATTTCGTATGAATTTGATTTATTTATCGTAAATTTTCCTTTGACGTTCTAAAAAAAAAAAAAAAAAAAAAGGTACGCTTTTGTTGAGTTTGAAGATGAGCGAGATGCTGAAGATGCCTACTATGAAATGCATGGACGTAGAGTTTATGGACATGCTTTAAATATTCAGGTACATTTCTCAGTTATCTGTGATTAAATTAAACATTGAATACATGTTATTTATCATCATCACTATTCAGTGGGCCAAAAATGCACCTTCGAGGTCTTGGAGATACGAAGGTAGTAATAGAGGTTCTCCCCGTAGAAGTCGCCGATCCCCTACTCCTCCGCGCCATAGAAGACGTCGCTCATATACTAGATCTGTGAGTCGTACCCGATCTCGTTCTCGTGGACGCAGCCGCTCTCCCCGTTCTGACACACGCCGTAGTCGTACGAGATCCAGAAGTCCTAGGAGCCCTGAGAGGGGAGATCGAACCAATGGAGATGAACGCATGGCTGAAGATAGAAGGTCCAGGTCTATA